GTTCATGGATAAATTGCCCTATGGTGGAACTTTAAATGCAATAGAATATTGACAAAGACAAGAAGATGGCAGACTCTTTATTTAACTAACGATCAGAAAGTTCTCACCATTTTCACTATTTTTAGAAAAAAGTCCATGAACTTTTGTCTGGAGCTAAAACGCTCTCGATCCATCACCAGAATAGCTCAGAGCTGAACTCCCTGGGGGCTTTTGAATGGGAACGATCCTCTGTTGTTTTAAAGACACATGTTCAGGGGAAACAGAAGCCTTACTTATGCAAGAAGTGCACGCTGGAGCTTCAGCACTACATGTGCACCAGTAGCATACATGACACGTAGCGGAATATTTTATACATTTGTGATTATAGCTGACCTGGCCCAGACTCACAGGTGCAGCTCTTTGGACTGTTTTAATCACAACAGTGGAACAAACTGAAACATTAAACTTTTGTTATATCCAGTTTAGAGGAAAACACTAACATTATAGTTAGGGGTTATAGTTACTCCACAAGAGGTATTTGATGCTGTCCGTAGACTAAAGAATAACAAATCCAGTGGGATAGACCAGGTGACATCTGAACACCTGAAGTTTGCTAGTGCTAAGCTGTATCCACTCCTAGCCATCTGCTTTACTGGGTTCCTGGTCCATGGCCTCTTGCCAGAGTCTCTCCTGTCTATTGTTTTGGTTCCTGTTGTCAAAAATAAAATGAGTAAACTTAGTGACATTAACAATTATCGGCCAATAGCACTAGCTCATTGTCAAAGGTGCTAGAGAGGATTCTGTTAACCAGACTTGAGCCATACCTGTACACTACAGCTAATCAGTTTGGCTTTAAGCATGGTCATGGCACTGACACATGTATCTTTGCACTGAAGGAGATGTTGGATAAATATAATTCCCAGGGGTTCACTATATTCATGTGTTTTTTAGATGCTTCTAAAGCATTTGATTGGATTAATCATGGGAAACTATTCAACAAATTAACAAACCGAGGTGTTCCAGGGTACCTCATTAGAATACTTATTTTCTGGTATACCTGTCAGTCCATGCAGGTGAAATGGGGTGATTCTACTTCTGACTCTTTTAGGGTCAGTAATGGAGTTCGCCAGGGTGGAATCCTGTCTCCCCTTCTGTTTAATATCTATGTTGATGACCTGTCTGTGCAGCTGAATTAATGTAAAATTGGATGTTTTGTTGGTGATTATCTGTATAATCATTTAATGTATGCAGATGACCTAGTACTGCTGTGTCCTTACAGTGCAGGTCTGCAGCAGCTTTTAAATATCTGTTCTCAGTATGGCTTTGAATATGACATTAAGTACAATGCTCAGAAAAGTCACGCAATGATTGTTAAAACAAAAGAGGACAAAAAGTTGTCCTTTCCTGTTTTCTCTCTGTGCGGGAGTGCCCTCCAACTCACAGATGAGGTTAAATATCTTGGACATTATGTCACCAGTGACCTCTCAGATGATAGAGACATGTACAGGCAGCAGTGTAAGCTTTCTGGCCAGGCCAGTATGCTTGTCTGTAAGTTCTCTATGTGCTCCAGTGATGTCAAAATTGCATTAAATGTTTTTGCTCACCTTTGTATACTGCGCATCTTTGGCGTAACTATAAGAAAAAGAGTTTGCAGAGTTTGACAGTGGCGTATAACGACTCTTTGAGAATATTATTGAAAGTTGAAGGTTTTGTAGCGCCAGTGAAATGTTTGTAAATTGTGATGTGAGACCCTGTGCTGTCATAATCAGGTGTTGTATTTATTCATTTATGTGTAGAGCTGTGAATCTGAGTAATCAAATCATTGAAGCTCTAGTGTGTCCTGTGAGGAGCTCTGTCAGATTCACCTCTAAGCTGTGGAGACACTGGCGGTCTTGTCTGTATATGTTATAACATGCACTGTATTTATCTTTTTATTCTTACTATTGTTTTTTTTATTATTTTTTTTTTTTATACTATGAACCAGATATCATGTGTTCTTAATAAAGATTGAATTGAATTGAATTATAACTATAGAGCACAAAAGCACTATGCAATATGTATTCTGTATTTTGTTCAATGTGTGGCTATTGACATGCATTGGATATCTTTAGTTTAGACCTGGTTAAATCCTGGTTTAGCCTTCATTTAAAAGTGCATTGTGTAACTTTTTGAGTGTCTGTCAGATGTTTTTCTCTATGGAAATGTTTTTGCTTTGAATCAAATGTTTCATAGTATGACATTAAACTTTTCTATCTTCATGGAGACCAGACCAAGTTATTAGGGATGTAACAATAACCGAAATATCATGATATCGTATCGTCAATAATATTGTGGAGCATCACAATATATATGGAATTACAAGTCTCTTTGCTTAAATTAAGAGTTATGGTGCGGGGGGGGGGGGCTCTGACCTGTAACCCCTGCAAGTTACAGGTCAGATCTGTGGAGAAGAGACCTCACAGTCAGAATTCCTGTTTAGGTATTTTTGAGCCATGAAACCACCAAGGTAGAGCTGTTTAGTGTCATACTGTGGAACATTCCAGACAGAGCAATGGCATCTCCATAGAACCAAATTGGTGATGGACCCCCAACCAAAAAGTTAGCGCATAGTGCACCCTAAACACATTTTTTTAAGAATAGAATGAACTTTTTTTTGACTTGCCCATGTCTCGGGGCTCCAATGAGTTACAAGCCAAAGATTCAATGGGATTTCTGAATGTTCCGTTTATCCGTTTCTAATGTAAAGCGTGTGTTCAGAAAGAGAGAGAGATTGAGGGAGAAAGAAGGAGAGAGAGAAGAGAGAAATAAAGAGGAGTAAGAGAGAGAGACAGAGAATGAAAGAGGGAGAGAGAGGAAAAAGAGAAAGAAAGGGTGATGGGGGGGCCTCAAAACCAGCGCATCTGGACCCCATTGAGAACTAAACCATTGAATAAACCCCAAATTCAGTCCTCTATAATATGTTTTTTTGTAGTTTTGGCATAATTCTAGTGTAGACCTTGGTAAATCCTGGTTTTAGTTCTTGTGCTTATTTAGACTAGGGGTTAGACCTGGTTTTGTCCAAGTTCAGACCTGATTTTGTGGGTTTGTTTTATGGTGTTATATGGGTTTTATAGTCCTGTCCTTGTTTAAACCTGGTTTTGCCCTGAATTAGTGGTTTTGACCTGGTTTAGTCCGAGTTCAGATCATATTTTTCGTGGATATTTTTTAAATTCAATAGGGTGGTTTATTTTATGGGGTTATATGGTTTTTATAGTTTTCCTTTTGAATCCTGATTTAGAACTGGATTAGACTTGGTTTAGCCTTAGTTCAGATCTGATTTTGTGGATTCTAGTTTATTATATAGTTAATGTGGTGGTTATATTATGGGGTTATATTGGTTTTACTATCCTGTCCTTAAATCCTGGTTTAGTCCTGGATTAGTCTTCTGGTTTAGTCTGAATTTAGATCTGATTTGGTTTTGGATTATAATACATTTAATATGGTGTTTTTTATGGGGTTGTGTTGGTTTTATAGTCCTGTCCTTTTTGGTTTCTCTTGGTTTCTTTTTGATGTTGTTAAATCCTCTTTTAGTCCTGGATTAGTCCCCGTTTAGTTCTGTTTTCTGATTTAGTCCTGTATTATAATAAATTTAATGTGGTGCTTTTTGTGGTGTTATATTTCTATAGTCCTGTCCTTTTTGGTTTAGTCCGAGTTCAGACGTGATTTTGATTTGGATTACTGTAGACTTTCTGAGGTGATATAAAATTTTATAGTCTTGTCCTTGTCAAATCCTGGTTTTGTTCTGGATTAGTCCTGGTTTAGTTCTGGTTTAGACCTTGGACCATGCACATCTGGAGCTCATCTGGGGTCCCGGGGGAGTCCTGGCCCAGTCTCGTCCTGATCGTGGATGAAGTGTGTGGCGTGCGTTTGTTGATACACAGTGAGACAGAGCGGAGGGAACCTGAAGGTCAAAACCAGCCTGACATAAAAATAAATGCTGTGACTGGAGCAGAGTCTTAAAGAGGACACATGTTATTCTGTTCTGCATTATTAAAACCTGCAGATGTCATTATTTTACACTTTGTTCATTGTAAATCAAAATACTGATCTAAAATTGCCTAATAATAGAAATAGGTCCATTGATTTTCAGCTGAAACGGCAGAATTGAAAAGCCCTGCCTCTGGATTTCAGATGACATTAAAGCATTCTGTAGGCCAATAATATTTAATACAGATGAGGGCAGCTAAAATGAATACTGAAGAATAATATACAGATTTATCTTTATTATAGGGAGTTTTTCAGTTTCAACATTTGTGCATTTACCTTTTGGATATTTCATGGCAAAATACATTGCAATCAGTAAAAAAAACTGTATCTTCCCCCCAGTTGGAAGTTTGACAGTATTAAATTTCAGAATGTGAAAACCACCAATAGCAGTACATTTATATTTACACTGACTGAATTTTTAACCTTATGACCCAGAGTGAGTCTAACTGCAGTAATGGGGCATTATAGGTAATTGGTAACTGTGATACTTCTCACCTCTGACTTGATCAACTTCCCTGGAGACTGGAAACTCCCCCTTGTGAACTGGGAGATGGCTGAGGAACTCTGATGACTTCAGATACAAGTAAACTGTACCCAACAATGCTGATCACCACAAAAAAGTGTATCTGAGGTTAACCACTATGATGTAAGCATTTGAAACAAATTAAATCAGTCAATATTCTTCTCTTATTTAACACAACACAACAACACAACAACACAACAAGGGCTAAAAGGTAAAGAAATATAGACATTCTACATTTCTTTACCTTTAAGCCCTTGTTAGTTAGTACCTCTCATAAAACAAAACATTAATTCTAATGTTCAAATAGGCCTAATAAACAAAATAAGATAGCTCCCCCTTGTGCAAATAAAAGGTTGACGTGATCATTATTGATTTCAAAATATTGTTTATCCAATATTTATTTTGTATTTATTTGTACAAGGCATTCATTTCTTTTGGTAATGATTTGATTGACAGATTTTTTTTCATTCAGAATGGATGAGGATTACAACATCCTTCCTCATGGAGTAAACTTCCAGGATGCCATTTTCCCTGATGTTCCAGAGAATCACCGCATGTTCTCCAGTCTGTTCCAATTCTCCAACTGCACCCAAGGGACCCAGGTCCACAGCTTCACTGCAGAGTGGGAGGCACAGGAGGACACCAGGGTAACTGTTTTCATCATTATTATATAACAGTAGAAGTCTAAGCTGCATTTTAGGGTGGACCATACTGACAAAAAGAAAATATTGTTTGGTTTTTAGGATCCACAGGTTTCAGAATTTATGACCGTTGCCATGGCAATTAACAATTTAAAACAAAAAAATCCTTTCTTTTGAGTGGTGAAAAGTCCTGGAAATATGGTCTAAAATAGGAAGCTACAATACAGTTACAATAACAGAGGAGTTAGAGTTGAAGATGTAGAGTAAAGGGTCATAGGAGTAAAGGAGAGGGTCTGATGGAGCAGAGGAGCAGAAGAGAGGGGCAGAGGAAGCAGAGGATGCAGAGGAGAGGGGCAGATGGAGCAGAGGATGCAGACGAGAGGGGCAGATGGAGCAGAGGATGTAGAGTAGAGAGTCTGATGGAGTAGCGAATTCATGTTTTAAATAGATTGTTCAAAGCACTTCCTTTTTCCAAACAATCCAAATATTTAAATTAAATGGAAACCATAAAACGCTTTTCGGTCAAAGCACAGACGAGGATTAAACGGAAAAATTTCAAAACATTCAACCACAATTGGCTGGGATGAAGTGACTTGTTATTTGAAGTTGGTGGATTACTTTCTTCTGCTCCAAAACATCCTAATATGGAAATAATTGAGATCATGTGACCACCCCAGGCTAGTTACCGTGGCGTTTTATAGCTCTAATATGTGTTACTGCAACATTTATGGGGTCAGTTCAGAGTATTCCAAACAATGTGCCATGCTGATTTCAATAACAAAAGAGGAGGTTTAAGGTCATATATGATGTGCTTTTTTGAGCTTTTACACATTATGTCAAGAAAACATACTTGTAGTTATGTTTTGTTTCATTCACACTTTTCAGTAATCCCACACATTAAAGCTGTCACCCTCTTCAGATCTAAAAACACTTCACTGTTCCACCATGCGATGCCATTAGGTGGTAATCCAGTAAAAGCTCTGCTCTGTTCATTCAAATTCAAAACTTTACTACTTTCTAATTAACGTTTTTTACTTTCTAGCCTATGTTAAACTGATGCCACATTATGCTATATTGTGGAAGATTATAGCCAAAGGAACAGCATTTGCATGGAAGCAAGCAAGGAGAATTGAGAGTCAGGTTTGTAGAGATGCAAGCCCCTTCACAGTTTTTGCAATGAAAATATTACATGGCTTTTATTTCAGTCTGGAAAGGAAACGATGGCTCAAACAATTCTACTTGTTTTCAATAATTGCATGTTTTACATACTAGGCTTCTTTGTCCAAATATTCTAAAAAAAATAGATTGATGCATAATCTAATACATTTTGAGCAGAATTAGCATTTCTTGTATGTTTCCTCTTCCAAATGGCTTCCAGTCTTGCCTTGTCTTGTTTAATGAATCTAAACTTTTTGGCCTTATCTCCTCGTTCTGTCTGTTAGCAATCAACAGTGGAGTCCATATAAAATGAAATGAAGCAGGTTTTGTTCCACTCTTTTGGTCAAAACGGTGATTATAATTGTGCTATGACGTCATTGTAACGCTCTGTGTCCTGATGTCATCTCCTGTGATCTAAACACAAACAGAATGTGATTCCAGTGGAGTGGACAAAGAGGAGCAGCTCAGGTCAATGCAAGGGGTTTAAGCATGCACTATATAACTGCTGGTGGAGGGTCCTAAGTCTGCACAGCAATATGGATTCTGACAATATTTTTCACAAACTCTCAGAATCCTTCTCAAGATACTCCTGCTTGTCAGGTTCACATTTTCAATGCAGCTGATGTGCTAATGATCAATGACAGCACTGAGGTTTTGCAGAAGCTAAAGGTGAAGCACCCAAACTAACCAAAACAAATATGGAGACGCCGACAGACAATACAGGCCTATAGCATCAATACAGGATATTTGTGGACAGGGAAGATGATGTGCTTTTCTCTCAAATGGATGTTACAAAAGTTTGACTTTTTCACTTGTTTGGCTATTGTGACACTTCAACCAATCATATTCAAATAGTCGTCATGATGATCTGCATTTTCTGAGGGTCGTTCCCAGATTGATAGAACTCAGTTCAGAGTGCCACACATATCAATCTAGCGATATGCCAGTTTAGGAGGGTCCCCCACCTGCAGGATATGTTATGTTATTTAGATGGTATTTGCCTGAAATGCTCCACACTGTTCTATTGAAGGGGGTCATTGCACTTCTCTGAGGTTCTGAAAACACATTTGCATTAGTAAATGTTAGTAAGTTTAATTTTCATTTTTGACACAAATTTTTGAGTCCATGTAGGAGCATGGATGATGTAGGCTTGTGAGCTGAGCACTGGACACAGTCTTACAGCTGATCATGAGGAGGGTTCAAATAAGGCCTGGGAAAGATTGCTAGATTACTCAAACATACATGGATGACATCTAAAACCTCTGCATGCATGGTTTTGATGCATGAACAACTTTATAACATAGAAATCTCCAAAAAGGTTTGCACAATACCCTCTAATTAATCTTATCAGTCTCCGTGGATACAAGCAGGTAGTGCCACCAGGTCAAGTTGCAGGTCAGGCCAGAGGAGAAGTGATCCTGCTCACAGTAAGAATGCATGTATTTCAAGGTATTTTTACTATTATAAACACCTGCAAGATAGATCAGGTTTTAGCCATACTCTGGAGCATTGCATGCAAAGCAATAACTTCTCCATAGAGACAAGCATGTGACAGACACTTCACCAGAAAAAATTATTGCACTTTTCAGGTTGACATTTTTGTCAGTATAGCCCCTCCCTATCGTTAGCCACAATATAATGCCTAATATAAATAAATGACTTATAAAGTACTGTCTGTTCTTTCATTGTAAAAATATAGCTAAGCTTTTTACTCTTCTCGATCCAACCTCACTGTTTCCAATCTCATTTTATTTGAACACTTAATCTTGCATTTCCTTCAAAATACAAAAAACCTGCTGTGTATTAGATAGCATTAAGTAACTCAATCTCACTCCACTTTCTTTCCAAGATTGGTTTAAAAGAGACATTTATAGTGGCAGTTAAAGCGCTCCATTGTCTGCAGGGATGCTTTCCAAGCCTAGCAGCTTCATTAGCGCTGTACACCATTTTTCCTCTCTTCTTAATGGACTTTATGAGCTTGTCTTAAACATGCATGTGGCAGTGATTGTGTCTGAATGTTTGTGATTACTCAAATATTCGTTCCCAGTGCAGATTCTAATTTAGTTTGGAAAGAGGAGTGGGACAGTTGTTCTCACACAGAGCCAAGTTTAAGGGTCAAAAGATAAAATGGGGCTATTATATTATGATCTGACTGTTATACTGTTTTGTTATCATAAAACATACTGAGAGTTTGGTTTCAGTCACTCTTGAGTAATCCTGCATATTTGTCTCCCCAAAGCTCAAACACTTGATCTAACTGCATGATATCATTGTGTGGTAATCCAGGTGTCTAAAAGTAGTCACAAAATAATATAGGATTTTGGGAAAGAAAAATCATTTGGGGTTTTTATTTGGAGTACAGTTCAGGGGTTTCCAGGGCTGCAGATCAAAACACAAATAGAAGAGACACACAACTGGGACATACTTTGGTTCGTCACAAAGGAAAGTCGGATTTAGAAGCTCCTTTTGATTCAGAACAACACTGTGAATCATTCAGATGGAGCTGTGTCAAGCACTCTCACCTCACAGTAAGAGGTTTCTAGGTTTGACTCCCAAGGTAGCCAGGGTCATTCCAGGAAATGGTCAAATCTTCCATCTATGGTAGTCCTGACCAAGCCTGGCTTAAGGTGGGTCCCTCAGCATTGCACTGTGGTGCCCACTGCTCCAGACAGGTTGCTACAGCAGTAGTATTGCAGGATGGGTCAAATGCAGATGACAAATTTCACTATGGGGTGGGATAATGAAGTGTACCTTTACCTTATCCATGCCACTACACAATGATTGCATGGAACATTACATTAAAGTTGCATTCTGGAACATTTTCTGGAGGAGGGTCTGCCACTTGCTTTTCAGTATGGAGATATTATTGCATTGTATGAAATGTTTCACACTATGGCATCAACCCGTTGTATCATCATGGAGACCAAACCGGGCCAAAGTCAGATCAGTGGGGAGGCGACCCCGCTGACAGTCAGAATGCCTGTTTATTTTTGAGCTATAAATCCACCTGTAATTGAATAAATGTAAGGTAGAGCCGTTTAATGTCATACTGTGGAACATTCAAAGGAGAGCAAAGACATATCTATAGAAACAAAAAGGTGAAAAGTTACCAGGCGCACCGTTAATACTTGCTATTGAGGGTTTTAACCATTCTTTTTTAAATCATAATTGAGTATATCTAACTTTGCCAATTCAGTAGAAGGCAAGAAGGCTGCATTTGGCCCCATAGTTTAGACTCCCCTGGTCTGGTCCGGAGATACTGTAGAGTTTGACTTGCCAGATCAGTAATCAAACCATTGTCTTCTGGTAAGTCCACTGCTCTACCTCAGGCACTGTACTGTGCCACTGTATTTCACAATTGTCTTTGCTCAGACTTCTGATCATGTGGGATTTCACCTCCTCAAAGCTCAAATATTTTCCACCTTCAAATTTTCGCCCTCCCAAATGGTTCTATAAACCTGCACAGGCCGACCATCTGTGGCTGCAGGTTACGAGGCACCTGTTACTAATGAACTAAACAAACCATTTTAGACTCACTTCCCAAATCTCACCACAACATTCAAACCTTGTCCTGGCTTATCTTGACAAAACCAAGACTGTTGTAGTATCTGACAGCGTGTCCTCACCATAACTGGCTCTAGCTGCTCGGAGCGCCGCATTATAAAGTTTCTGGTCTTTTGGATCTCAGTGGGACCTAAGTGAGAACATGTGTCAGGAGTCAGCAGCTTATGTTTCCGTGGTAATGCAGTTAGCAGACTATGCCCTGAGCGGAGGAGAGGGGAGAGGTTTCATAATAAAGCTTTAGCACCATGTACTTTTTTTCTACAGAAAGTATACAGAAAATACATAATATTAGTAAAACCTGTTGTTGAAACTAATGCCTCTTTATAAAAGTAGAGGTACTTGGATTATTGGTATTATTAGTATTGGCATTAAAAGTAAAAGCAGTTTGAAAGATTTTGTTATGAAAGTGGTCCTCTGTTGTTAGCAATAATGCAATTCAAATGAAAATATATTTTGATGGGGAAATGTTCTCACAAAATCAAATCATGACTTGATAATTTGCCTGAAAAACAGGTAACATGGTAGAAGCAGTAATATTTGAAGGTAATAGTAGTAGTAGTAATTGAGTAGTTGAGTTTACCTTTATTTGTCAAGGTAGTAGTAGGTGGAATTGAAGGTAGTAGTAGTAGTAATAACATTTGAATGTAGTAGTAGCTGTAGTTGAAAGTAGGAGTAGTAACAATTGAAGGAAGTAGTAGTAACAATTGAAGGTAGTAGTAGTTGGAAATGAAGGTAGTAGTAGTTGCAGTTGAAGGTAGTAGTAGAAGTAATAACACTTGAAGGTGGTAGTAGTAGCTGTAGTTGAAGATAGGAGTAGTAACAATTGAAGAAAGTAGTAGTAACAATTCAAGGTAGTAGTAGTAGTTGGAATTGAAGGTAGTAGTAGCTGGAATTGAGGCAGTAGTAGTTGCAGCTGAAAGTAGTAGTAGTAGTAATAACACTTGAAGATAGTAGTAGTAACAATTGAAGGAAGTGGTAGTAACAGTTGAAGGTAGTAGTAGTTGGAAATGAAGGTAGTAGTTGCAGTTGAAAGTAGTAGTAGTAATAACACTTGAAGGTACTGGTAGCTGTAGTTGAAAGTAGGAGTAGTAACAATTGAAGAAAGTAGTAGTAACAATTGAGGCAGTAGTAGTTGCAGCTGAAGTTAGTAGTAGTAGTAGTAATAATAACACTTAAAGGTAGTAGTAGTTGGAAATGAAGGTAGTAGTAGCTGCAGTTGAAGGTAGTAGTAGTAGTAACAACTGAAGGAAGTAGTAGTAACATTTGAAGTTAATAGTAGTAGTTGGAATTAAAGGTAATAGTAGTCACAATTTAAGGTAGTAGTAGAAGCAGGTGAAGGTAGTAGTTGGAATTGAAGTTAGTAGTAGTAGCAATTTGAGGTAGTAGCAGTAGAAGCAAATGAAGGTGGTAGTAGTAGTAGTAGTAGTAGTAGGACCAACCGAGTAGTAGCAGTATAGGTAGTTGCTGTTGTAACTTTAAAGGTATTAGTATCAGATTAGACTAAAGTTTTGCAATAGAAGCAAATGTATAGTATAGTGCTGAATTTAAGGCGGATTGCTCAGGAAATCACCAAAATGTGGAATATGATCTGCACATAATAAATCGTCAGTAAATGCCAGATAAAAATAATATGAAAAAAAATCTCCAATATGTCTCCATTGAAGCTGTAAAACGGACAGTTACAGTAACACCTCTACAAACACACCACATTTATTTTCACATTTGTGGATTGAGAGGACTTACAGCTTTTGGCAGAGATGGAGCTCGGCGAGGATTCCCAAAGTGCACGTCCAGAGGAAATCAGGTTTTCCAAGAATCTGTCCAGTTTTATGTGATAAAAGTTACTTTGTGTCTGACATCGGCCCAGTGAATACAATGTGCACTGACAGGGATCCTCCACTCTATTTAAAGGTTTATAAAATACACTTCATGCTCTGTCAAAGATACGTAACTATCACCTGGATCCATATTTATGTATACTTTTTAAATTGATTTGTTTTCATTGGATCAAAACTTGTCAATCAACTTTATTAGTAATTCCTTTGGTAACTGCCATGAGACATCAGATGAAAAAAAAAAAGAAAACCTAGACCTTTTTATCTGCCAGTTTTATAAGAATCATTGTACTAAATTCTATATAAAATGTTACGATATGTGCAGATCCGTCTTTATTTTGTATTGATTTATTCTCATTTTATTAAAACTTGTCAATCAAGTTTATCAGTTCTCTCTTTGATAGCTGGTATGAGGCATCAGACAAAAAATAATACTGTGCCTTACCTTTATTTCTGCCAGTTTTACAAGAATCATTGTACAAAATTCTATATAAAAATGTTTCCATGTGTTAACCAATCACAGCCTTTACCTCTCACTAGGGATGTAACAATAACCGAAAAATTTGATATTGTATCCTGAAAGTTCTCACAATAATATCGTGGAACTTTTACAGTATATCAAACTACATAGACCATGATCCTTTGCTCCATTTCAGTGCACACTACATGAAGAAATAACAGTTGTAAACACTTTTACGTCTTAGTTCTTGGGATTAAGTCTTGTCAAGGCATTTTAAGAGGAAAAAGTAGCATATTAACAGTTGTAGTTGTTTAGCCTCCACAAAATATCACAATAAATATTATACCGTGAGATGTGTATCATGAAAATATCGTACCAAGCGATTTGGATATTGTAACATGCCTAATCGTGAGCCTCCCCACCATATCGTGAGCTTTCCCATGATATCGCAATAAATATCGTATCGTGAGGTTCATACCATGACGATATCGTATCGTGAGACTTGGATATCGTTACACCCCTACCTCTCACTGATTGTCTTTAAAGCTATTCATACAGACACTCTCTCCAAAGAATCTATGATCTGAATATTGGCGCCCCAGACATAAGGTCATATTCACCTACTGGCAGGTTAGCGATGCTTTTCCAGCTCCCTCAGATGAGTACTGTTGTTGTGCCCTTGTGCAAGACATTAAGCCCACCTCATCCCCAGTGCCTGTGCACAGTATGTGAACGTTGATTTTAAGTGCTTTGAGTGTCTTGAAGGTGGAAAAGGAAAAGGACTATATGAACATGCAGTATATATCTGTTCTAAATCTGTCTCCTGTCATTTTCACCCCAGCAGTAGTACCATCAGTCTCCTCAACCTCTCCATCTTCTCCTCTTCACTGGCAGGCTGATTATTCAAACCCCAGAAGAAGATAATTCCTATACAAATCTGTTATTCGCTTTTTTCACCACACCTATCAGAATCTAAGTTCAAAATATTCTTTGTGTTATTACTCACAGATTTGTTTATTTGTCTGTTTAAATATAGCTCTATTTTAAAATGCTGGTATTATATTTAACAAGTAATCTGTAACTATCCATGGGTTTCAGAATGAAGACAATTTAATAACATTATAATAATATCTTTTGAATGGTCAACTGTCTCCAAAATGGCACCAGGTAAAAGTGAGCTTGAATCCAGGAATTCATTTTTTATTTTTTTTTTCTTGCAGTTGCTGTGCTCTACCGTGCAAAAGGCTTTATTCGAAGAAGAGGAGCGTGTTCAGAATTTGACCCAACAAGTCAGAGTTTTGGAGAAAGCGAATGGCCATCTGAGAGAGAGAGTGAAAACCTTGAAACGCCAGCTACGGCAAGCCCAGAGGGACAATAAGGATCAGCAGACTCTCAATCTCAAACAGATTTACGACTCCACACAGCCTCACCCCGATCAGGATACAACTGGAGAGGAGAAAACTTCACCGAGCAAAAAGGGACCCAACAAGAAACTAAAAACTTAGAAGTGTACAGTGATCAGATGGACTATATTCAGCAGAGTAGTATGTATATAAGGATAGAGTAATACTGCATTCATCTTATATAGTGCTTTTCAATACACTCAAAGTTATTCATTCCATACTCACTGGTGGTAGGCTATTATTGTTGCCACAGCTGCCCTGGGGTAGACTGACAGATGCAGGGCTGCACCATCGGCTCTTCCAACCACCACCAATCACTCAATTACATCCAAAATTCACACATGCCCTGAGTGTGAATGCTGCCAAAAGCAGTATTGGTAAATGTTGGTAATAAGAGCTAAAGCTGGATAAACTTAGATCAAAAAGTTGAAACATTGCATCAGTTGCTCTGTTACATGTTCTTATTGTTGTATCTGTGCTGGACACAATTGCATTTCTTTGTATTGAATTTTCAGTGAGCAAAAATGACAAAAATCTCTCATAAACTCTGTTACAAAGATCAAACTTCTCTAATTTGTGGGTGCTTTTTTACATTGTAATATTAACATAAGAAAATGCGACTTTTTATACTTGACGTTAAGCTTGTCCTTTTTGCTTTTGTTTATATTTGACAGTATTACGATTCTACAATAATTGTTATAAGTGTTATGTATTAGATAAACAGGTGCTGAGCATCTACTGCGAGCCTATGAGGTACAACATTATTGTGGGATATTTGTTGTTGTTGTTTATAGACAGAAGTGTATTACCAACAGCGTATGGGCTAAGCACATTTCAGTGGTAGGGCCTGTCATGTTTTAACAGGAAAACAATATGTATTTTTGGGATACTATCACTTTAAAACATTTATTACATTTCATGTACAAAATAGAGAATTCATATTTTAGGGAAATTTATGATTTATTCATTAGTGATTCATTTTCATTCACAAAGATTTAAAAGCATAAAAGTTAAAAGTTAAACAAAAACAAACAAAAAAAGCAGGTTTTCCAAGATGAAGTGGAGAATTTCTGATATTTCAGAAATTTCAGAATTTTGCAACAGCATGAGACATATTTAAAAAATAACAATTAAACATGAAACACCTGAAATTATACTCAGTTGAAGTTATACAATAGATAAATGTGTCATCACTTCTATACATCAAACCAAAATATATTTACAGCTAAGCTGTTTACAAGAATTGTGTTATTTCTCATTTGTTTTACTTAATTACATAATCTTTTGTATTATTTTAGTTTTGATAATAAATGAGTCTTTATATAAGCCCGCTGAGCTTCCTCTATTTTGTACTCAGTTCTTTTTGAGGTTCTTTGGCCGTTCCACTCACATTCCTCTATGGTCTAGTGACACTCAACACTTTCAGATCCTGGACTACTGCCTCTGACTCGCACCATTTATCTTACCACACGCCTCATATATTTACTACTACTATTACTACTATTACGACTAGTACTATTACAACTGATACTTTTACTACTGTTACTCTACTGTTACATTCATATTTTATAATACTTCTACTACTACTGTTATTATAAGCTTTTTCTACTACTGCCACTACAACTACAAACTGCGTGCTGTCTCTGCTACATCCATTATTATAACTATTGAAAGAATAACTATTGTTACTACAACTACTATTATATTATTACTACAACTTATGACCTCCACTATTTGTGCTTCTATAGTACTATTACTACTACTACTGTTGCTACTACCACTGAGCTGTAGCCATTACTCTATCTTATTGATTATATACATTCCCAGCTAGTAGTGCTGCTTGTACTTGTATTCTTCCTGCGACTACTACGACTACAAGTACTGATACTGCGCAGACGTAAACTCCTGTGCTATACTTTCCCTTAGCGCTAACTAAATTGCTTTTGTCTTAAAAATGTAAACAATGAAACATGCTGTGAACATGTGTGAAGGAGAAATCTTAACATGTACTCCAGCTTCCAGCGTAATTTCCTCTTTTGTGTTTTCTTTCTACCATGTACTGCTGCTTCTACTACTACTACTACTACTACTACTACTACTACTACTACTACTACTACTACTACTACTAACTACCACTATGACACTACACTACTGTTGTAGGATAAATTCAAGTAGTCTGAGAGTTGGAAGCAGAGGCACGTCAAAACAGTCTAATCCAGTTTAGACACAGTCTGGTCCAGTGCCTGGTTATGCTTCTGTCGTAGGGAGTATTATACCTCTGATGACTCAGGCCAGCTACAAGTCTAGTCATACTATGTTTCTACAAATACTTAACTATTGACTACTACCATTATTGTTGTTCTACTACTTTTTGCATTATACCTGCTGTTGCTACAAAAACAACAACAACTACTACAACAACAACAACAACTACAACTACAACTACAACTACTACTACTACTACTACTACTACTACTACTACTACTAGTCTAGGCTTACTATGCTTCTACAAATACTTACTACAACTATTGACACTAATACTACCACTACTGGTACTTCTACTACCACTACTTGCTCTATACCATGTACTATACTAAACTATACTATACTATACTATACTATACTATACTATATATATTACTACTGTAAATGCTACTACAGCTAGTCTAGGCCTACTATGTTTCTGCTAATAATTACTATATTGACACTAATACTACCACTATGGCTACTTGCACTGTACTCGCTTCTATTACAACTAGTCCTACTACTTCTGCTCCTCCACCTCCTGCTGCACGTACACAGTTGTAGCCGTACGGGAAGAATAAATCATAAATTCAATCCTGTCTCTCTCTCCTCTTTTCTCGTGTCACTTTTAGAAGGCAGAACGCAGGACTTCCTCAGGTAAAACCATGTTGGCAGATGAGATTTTCAGCACCATTTCATGAGGAGGGGGTAATGTCTTCCATATGGGACGTAAACTTTGGAACAGGGCTACATTAGTTTTGTGTCTGCTGCAGTTGTCCTTGTACTGCAGAATGAACAGGCTGAGCTGGAACATTACTAACTACTATGTGCTGTAAAAGGGAAAATATATATATGTCTCTACTTTTTCTTTCATTGTCGTCATCTTTCAAAGTCTGGGCTCTAATAATTGTTGTAAAAAAAATCTATTAAAAAATCATTTGTGATACATTTGTATGACCTTGATTAAAGTTGTCAAAAGTATTGGAAATCAGAGGCTAATTGATACTAAAACTAGTATCAAAGTAAAACACTCATTTGAGGAGATGTCAGAACAAAAAAGTCACATTCACTGTGACTTTTGCTGTAAAGTAAGAGCTGTAAGAGCTGTAAAGTTTTTTATTATCATCGTGGTATCAGAATCGGTATTGAGTATGAGGTATTCAAAATGGAGTTTGTTAGTAATTGTACTATTATGACAACATTAACAAAATATTTTATCTAAAGTGCCTTTTGTTTAGACGGTGACGGGGTTTTGGGGGCTTAAAAACAGAAAAATCTGAAACCACCCTCCAGAGTGGAAAAGTTGAATACACTCCTTCATACTGTTTCTGTCTACACTGCCCAAGACACAAAACTCTGGTCAGATCTTCTCACATTGCGTATGCTTTTACGTCATAAACATCACCACCTAACATCACTACCTGCCTGGCATGCATACCCAATCGAATTCCACACACTTTTGCGTCACTGTATGCATGCAAATTTCCTCCCAAAAACACTCATCTAAACGCGGAATAAAAAGTGAAGACAAGGCGCCACTTTTGCGTCTTCTGTTCAGACTGTCATCGTATAAACGTAGCCTTAGTAGAACCATCACAAGGATGATCAGAAGAAATGTACAGCACCCGAGTTAAAGATATGAAGGTCACAGCAAAGTGTCTGAATACTTATGGCCGTGTGATATTTCAGTTTTTCTTTTTTAATAAATCTGCAAAAATGTCAATAATTTTGTGTTTCTCTGTCAATATGGGGTGCTGTGTGTACATTAATGAGGAAAAAAAATGAACTTAAATGATTTTAGCAAAGGGCTGCAATATAACAAAAAGTGAAAAATTTAACGGAGTCTGAATACTTTCCGTACCCACTGTAAACGGAGCTGAATGTGATAACTGCCAAAAAAGATAAGTGTCATTATACCACCAGATTTAGGACTACACCGAGAACTGAGCCTGGAATAGACCAGGACTAAACCAGGACTAAAACAGGACCAAACCAAGTCTATATAAGGACTAAACTGGGCTCAAACCAGAACCAAACCAGGACAGTTAAATCATTGCAAAACTAGAGATATTCATCTGAGCTGGTATCAATTAAAAAAACATTCAACATTCAGTTCAAATTTTCTAGTTTAGACTTGGACAGAAGAGTGCAAGATGATATGATACTTTAGAAAAAATACAATTACAGTTATTTTGTCTTTCAAATGACATGCTATTGTAAAAAAAAGAAAAGCCTTTTAATTTTGTTGTTTAGTTAAAGAGAGAGGGAGAGATTAGAGGATTTTAATTTAATTGTGTGGAGAGAGAGAGATTAGAGGAGACAGAGAGAGTGAGATTGGGGAGAACAGAAAATACAAAGGGATAGATGAAGAGTTAAAAGAAAGAGAGGGGGGGTGACAAAGAGAAGGGAGAGAGAGAGAAGAAAATTAGTGGAGAGGAGAGAGAAGAGAAGAAAGAGAAGAGAAAGAAAATGAGAGAGAGAGAGAAAAGGAGAGAGGGGGAGAGAGAAGAGGAGAGGGACAGAAAGAGAGGGAGGGAGAGGAGGAAGAAAAGAGGAAGAGGGAGAGAGAGAAAGAAAACCAGAGGGAGAGGGAGAGAAGAGAAGATAAAGGCTAGAGAAGAAGAGAAGAGAGAGAAAGAGCTTAGAGAAAGAGGAAGAGAGGGACAGAAATAGAGGGAGGGAGAGGAAGGAGAAAAGAGGAAGAGGGGGAGAGAGAAAGAAGAGCAGAGGGAGAGGGAGAGAAGAGGAGAAAAGACAGAAGAAGAAGAGAAGAGAAGAGAAAAGAGAGAAAGAGTGAAGAGAGAGAGAGTGAGAGAAGAAGAGAGAGAGAAAGAGAGGGAGGGAGAGGAAGAAGAAAAGAGGAGGAGGGAGAGAGAGCAAGAAGAGCAGAGGGAGAGGAAGAGAAGAGGAGAGAGAGAAAGAGCAGAGGAAGAGAGAAGAGGAGGGAGTGAAAGAGAGGGAGAGAGAAGAAGAAGAAAAGAGGGAGAGAGAGAAAGAAGACCAGAGGGGGAGGGAAAGAAGAGGAGAGAAAGGCTGAAGAAGACGAGAAGAGAGAGAAAGAGCGGAGAGAGAAAGAGGAAGAGAGGGACAGAAATAGAGGGAGGGAGAGGAAGAAGAAAAGAGGAAGAGGGAGAGAGAGAAAGAAGCGCAGAGGGAGAGGGAGAGAAGAGGAGAAAAAGACAGAAGAAGAAAAGAAGAGAAGAGAAAAGAGAGAAAGAGCAAAAAGAGAGAGAGAGAGAGAGAGAGAGAGAGAGAGAAGAAGAGAGAGAGGGAGAGATTGGAGAAAAGAGAAAATAGAAAGGGATAGGTAAAGAGAGAGAGGAGGGTGT